ATTTCTCCTGCATTGGCTTCCCTTCACACAGATGCTATTCATTTATTTGTAAGTGTGCAAACCTACAAATTCAGCAGGGGATCAAATACTTATTTCCTCCCGTGTATAACCGTATCAACTGTTATCACTGAAGGTTTAGACAACAGACTGCAGATGCCCCAAATCCAGATGTGCGCATCTACCAATACTGATCCTTTGACTAAATCATTAGGTCAGGTGAAGGACGGGGATTAAGTTATTTTGTTCTTACACTGAAATTCTGGAAAAATGAACATATTGGCTGGCAGGAGATTTGATGGAAACAAAAGAAATATTCACAGTTGATGCGTCTCTACTACAGATCCTGGGTGTAACTTTATATATTACCTCCTGTGGGTTAGCATTGAATGTCAGGCTGCCTTCATCTAGCTGTAGGTATAGTCTTCTATATGAGAAACCAGCAGGAAGCCTTCTGTTGTAGATGGAGCAGTGGCCCCAGGTGGACTTACAGAGCCTGGAGGAATTGACATGGATTATTAAAAAAAAACAAAAACAACTTAGATATTTTTAACACTTTTAGTAAAAATGTAATTACCACATGAAAAAACCCGAGGTGAAGTGCCTTACCCCTGCCAAAGATATTCATCCTTTCCTAGACCCTGCCACACACATCCAGCCAGGCACAGATCAGTAGCATTCAGGTATGACAGTATGGTGATGCCCAGTTCAGGTGGCAGCATCTCCAAGTCTATAAAACCATGAGGTTCCTTACCTACCAAAACAGGAGAGACAAAATAGACAGACGTGTTTAGATTCAGTTGTAGCATTTTTCTGTATTTGGTTGCACAGCATGCTTTTAGAACGTATGAGCTGTGAAATTGATGAAGACGTTTTCATAATTTGCTCTGTTTTTCGTTTTGCATACATTTTCTTAAGCTGCAGTGTGTTCAGACCTCGGGGCCAACTAAGAGACCCCAGTACCAGGACCAGCACTGTACGTGTACTTTGTTCTGATTTTAAGTACATGCTAAAAAACTCATTTACTAAGCAGAACTCGTGGCCAAACAGCTATGCCTCTCACTAATTACACCCAAGTTTCTTGGAAACCTTCAGACAGCATACAATCCTTTCCTACAATAGAATAGGTATAGCCCACCAGCCTCACCTAATGGCAAGATCCAGGTTGAAACCCTGGATGGAGCCTTTCTGTGTGGCTAATAATCAAGTTGGATGAAAGTATTTATCTTTCTTAGGTTTAACATCCTGCATATGACTCAAAAGTAATAGCCTATTAACTATAGATATTCTCATTATGTACAAAGTGTAAAAAGAAGCAACTAAACATTATGTGTCAAGTTGGCTTTAAGAAATAAGTGTCTAAAGTTACATGTTTAGTACAGAGTATGATGTCATTGGGTTGTTTGGTTGCTGCCTTTGATTAGTTTATGTTGGACCAAAGAGCTGTAGTCACTGACACTGTTTGATTGTTTCTTGTTCAGTTAGATTTATCAAGCGGTGCAATCAACTGACAGAGCAGATGTCTGCAAGATGCGATCAGCATCTTTTATTCAATAAAGCTGTCCCTCTTCCAAACAGTTTACAACATAAGTTAGTACATGTGCATCACAAGTTTTTTACCCAAGCACGATCAGGAATTCTAACGTCACTCAGCATGTCAGAAACAAACAAACACACAAACAAAAATGGAGCCTCAAAGGACAGGATGCTACAGAAACCTATTTCCTTGTTTTAGTTTAGAAATCCTTATCTCACATGATCTCACTGAGTGATTATTTCACAGTGAAAGTGAAGAGAAGTGAAGCCCAAATGTAAGTAAACGAGAATGAAGGACTTTTCTCCCTGGTCGCAGATGTTAGGATTCCTGACAGGCATGAATTGTTAATACAGATTGCATCGTGTGTGTTTGTCTGTTTATACCGCCACTGCGTGTTCTCAGCAGATGATAGATGTCAGGCCGATAGCAGTGCTGTGGAGCTCTTTTCTGGGAGCCTGCATCTCTCCCTGGGTAAAGAAGAAAATGTTTTTCTATTCAGTCGCAGACATTGAAATTAACCTCCAGGAGAAAAATTGATCATTTTCTGATTCTAAGCTTCACCACTGGTTAATTTTTTTCAGTGGATTTGGTAGAAAGTTAAAAATAAACCTAAAGAGGAGAGGATAAATCCAGTTAGCTGTCAGTTCAAATGACAGCATGTGTAATTATTGTACATGGCATAAGAAATGCTTAATAATATATACAGATTTAGGAATAAATAAATATATGCTGAATTTAGGGCTGCCCAGTGGTGTGGTGGTTAGCACCATCACTTCACAGGAAGAAAGTCGTTGGTTGAATCCACTACCAGGGGCCCTTTCTGTGTGGAGTCTGCATGTTCCCCTCTCTGGCCACACTCGAAAGACGTGTAATTAGTGAATTTAAATCGGCCACGAGTGTGACAGGTTATCTGTCTGTGTTAGCCGTGACAGATCAGTGACATGTCCAGGGTGTGCCCCTGAGCTGTGACAGCCTCCCCACCCCATGACCCTGGACTGAATAAGTGGAAGAAAATGTATATTTTTGATTCATTATCTTCACATATAAAACTATTACAAATAAGAGATAGAAATTTAAATCTATATTATTCAGAAAACTTGGCTACATCTATAAATGACGCCGCACCCTGGATTGCAGTCTAACACCGGGAATATTTATATAAATTACACCAGAACATTTCAGTTTCAAAATTTCAATGAAATATAGAATTGTCATCATTTAAAGTCAATTGTTTTCTGCTCTGAAGCAGAGTACCTTGCTCCTGTCTTCCTCCCCCTCCTCTCTCAGCCAGTCGATCAGCGAGCTCTTCCTGAAGCTGCTGCTGTTGTCTGGGAGGCAGCCTCCACAGTGCCTGACCCATCTGTAACAGGAGGGAAACACCTAGATGATATAAAGCAATATGCTACATTTCCACTTACCTGTGTGAAACATAAAGTAGTAGACTACATCTTTTTTCTACAGACATGTTTCTTCTTTGCATACTTTGACATGACATTAAATACAGGATCAATGGATGTATACAGCGAGCACTGTTCGAGGCAACATTTGATTTACTTTATGAACACGGATCTTTTCATACTTTTTTAGATCAAACCTGGTTATTTAAAAAATCGAGATTATAAAGGGTCAAGACTGAAGTAAAGTAATGCGCCGTTGTGTCCCGTTTCATGTATTAAAAGCCTACGCAGCCATCAGAATCTGACAGCACTCTAACTGTGCTTCAGAATAAATAACGATCACCGACACAGGCCTACATTTAGCACACACCGCTGCTGTCAGCATCCACAGAGCACACTTGCTGCTAACTAGCTTCAAAATTAGCTTGTTCGGTACCTGCGTGCCAACAGCAAGGAGACAGCGGCTCGTCTGAAGGCCGGTCAAACGTCAGCTGTTTTACATAAACAACTTCCACTGTTGTAAACATCAACGTTGGAAGTTCCAGCCAGCACGGTAGTTTGACGTGCAGACCCGCCCTCCCTTCAATACCACTGGCCACAAAATCACAGTAGCATTGAACCTCTTAGCCCATTGGTTGAACTGTCTTTCACTCTTATGCTAGTCTTTCAAATCATCAAGTTAGCCTACCAAGATAGTTTAAGTGCACCGAGGACACAAATGCGTTGTCTTTATTTACATAATAAAGAACACAACCGTTTCGTCTGCAAAATATGAGTTCGTCACAGAGACGTAAGTGACGCTACCAACCTGACTTCAATGATTCCTCTGACGACCTGCGCACAATGACAGCTGGAAGCGCGATCCTTATTATCAAACGTATACTGTAGTAATTTCATTAAGCCAAGTACAGATAACAACAGAACAACAGGTCCTCCGGTTTAGCAAAGCCCTTCAATGCAGGAGTCTACGGACTGAATTATGTTTTCACTCTCTCCTTCCTGTCGGCCCTCCCACCTTTTCTATCGCGTCATAACTATAAACAGAAAAGGTTGAATCGAAAGAAAATGTATCTTCCCCCGGTTTGTCTTTATCCGTGGATTAATGTTTACGTATTTAACATGAATGTGATAAATAAGCTTTAAAAACAAACAAAAACAGAAAAAACAAAAGCAGAATCAGCGTCTGCGTCACTGACGTCAACTTATTGCATGACGTAGACAACACGCACAGACCCAAGAGCCAATCAGCCTGCTTTACAAGTCGGATCAGGGGACAGCAGTTAATGGTTAATTATTGGATACACCTGAAAGCTCATAATAAACGTCATCCTGTTACGAAAGTGTTTTGGAAAAAGGGAAGGATTAAAAAAATAGTTTTGGGTGGGTTGGTAGAGTTTTTAAAGTATATAGCAAAGAATTAGGACCCATGGAAATATATAACTGTAGACATCAGATATTAAAAAGAGAAGAAATATAACAGATATTTGTTAAGAATTTTATAACAAAGAAGAGATCAAGTACAGTGATTACTTGCAGATTTATACAGATGGATCGAAAGAGCCAAAAACTGAAACAACTGGTGTAGCAGTGGCTCCTGAATTATAAAATAAAATATCAAGATTTCAAAAAAGAACATCAATTTAGTTTTTAGTATATGTGGTGTAGAATTATGTGCCATATTATTGACTTTAGAATGCGTGGAAGATAGTAGAATTACGAAATTAATATTATGTAGTGATTCATTGTCAGCATTGTTGAGCATTGAAATATGAAGTACAACTAATCGCCAGAACATTGTGTGAAAAAAACAAAAATATAGCAATAATGTGGATGTATGTATTTAACGTAACAAAAGAGCAGATAAGCTGGCTAAGGAAGCTATTACAAGAGTAGATATTTTAGTAAATATATTAGTTTGGAAAATAGTACATTATGAAAAATGGTGTGGGATAATGAGGTAAAAGGTAACTGTATAAAATACAGTTGGAGTTACAAGACAGAGGAATAAGTAGGCGGGAGGGGATAATAATAAATAGAATAAGAACAGGTCATTGCTTTTTGAATGGCACTCCCTTCAACATGGGGAAACATCTAACTGTATGTAATCGGTGTAATGTAATAGAAACAATAGAACGTGTGCTTATTAGCTGCCGGAAATAAGTCAATCAAAGAAGAATATTGAGTGTAGAAATGGATACTAACAGGGAATTTTGAGAATGTGGTTGCTCAGCTAAATCATGATGAAGGGAAAGGAAATCCGTTTCTGAGAAGCACCAAAGTCATCAGGAGCATATAAGGAAATGATGTCGCAGTATAGCCCAAGAGATGGCAGTAGAGCAACATTGTTGGATGCAAGCTGCCGTTAAAAACTAAGAAGAAGAAGAAGAGCCAATCGAGCGTCGCGTTGTTGACGACCCGGGAGAAACAAAACTAGCTAAAGTAAAACAAAACTAGCTAAAGAATGATTCATACGAGTTATATCTCTTTGTGGAAAAGAGGATAAAGGAGTGTTAATAGAGCTTCGACTTTTTAAACAATCAATTCGGCTTCTTTAAATTTGGCGTTGTCACAACAGAGAAACTCCTTCGTACGTTTTGGGAATAAAACGGGGATTGGTATCAACGGGCTCGTCTTTCTTTTACATCTATTTAAAATGTTGTCTACTGGAGATGTTCAAGGTTATCTCCGTAAACTGGAAGCTCTCCTGCGAGTGATCAAGTACCCGGGATACGTCGACTACAATGGGTAAGCGTCACCACCGCCAGTCCCGTGTTACTAAAGAGATCCAAACTGACAGTATTCGCGCTACAATGTTTTATTAGTAATTTGTTTAAAAAAAAACACCTTGATTAAAAACCACGGCTCTTCAGTTTTAGCATTTTTACTGCTAAAGGGTACAAAGCTCGTTCCTAATAGTGCATATTCGGCTCGACACGACTCGTTTTCCATTACTATCTTCTTTTTTTGTTTGTTTTTAAATAAGATCCTTATTTAAAGATTGGTACAATACAAAGTAAAATGAAACAGCATTGCATTAAAGGTTTTTGTACTTACAGAAACTGTGTACCACAAACAAACAAACAAACAAACATTAGCCAGAACATACAATACACATGCGCTAGGGGGAGTAGTTTATCTAATTAAACCAAAGAGCGGTGATTGAACGATCTTCATTTTTCACAAACAACCATAGTTTTTACAGCTCTAGGATTAGCAGATTTCTTAATTGAATTAAGATATTGCAAAAACTCATAGAAAAGGAGGGATGTCTTCCTAAACATTTGGATTTGTGAATATGAAATTTCGCCTGTAAGATTAACAAGTTAATCATTCCTATGTTGAATTGTCTTTGGTTTTTGTGGGGACCAAATAATACATATTTCCAAAATAGTGCAAAACCTTTAAATACATTTTCTGAGATGAAGACACGTAATCTCTGCCAGAAGTTTTGTACAAGAGGACAAAACCAAAAAAGATGTATAGCAGATTCCTTACAAGTCTTACAAAAGCTACAGTTTGCATCAGTGTCTAACTTGAATTTTGAAGATAATCTTTAGATGGGTAAATTCTGTGTATCATCTTATAAGAAATGTCTTTAACTTTGTTGGTAATTAAAAACTGATTAGGTAGTCTCCAAACTTAGACTATATATGTATATTCTGCACCAAATCTCTGTGCGTTCATCATTTGTTTGAAGCCAGCTCACCTCCTGCAACCACTTTTCTGAGAATACGCGCTTCTTTTGTGGTTCGGACTGCTCCTGACATTTCTTTGGAGGTGGAGGAACA